ATCATCTATACCTACTCAGTTGTCTGGCAGGTTTGTCATATTTTTACTAAAATTTTAATATTTTCAATACTTTTTAAGAACCCCTCATTTTGCAAATGAGTATTGGACTGGGTGGAAACCAAACCACTCCTCTCACGTCCGGACATAATATTGTTATTCACTACAGCAGCGGCTCTTGTGCCACATATTTGGCAGCTCCGCTGTAGCAGAATACATCTTTTTTTTTTCTTGCCTGCCTCTGGACATTGTATGGATTTGTAACGACTTTTTTTTGTCGTAGTCTTTTCGCGGGTTTTTTCATGATACTCTAAGAGCGGGGGGAGGGAGAGGGGGAAGGGAGGGGGATCGGAATTAACTCGGAAGGAAAGGGGGCTAGCGGGGGAGGGATGGGGGTAGTATGTGCTAATAGCAGTCGTCCGCTGGCAAGACTCTCGATGGCTCTCTTTTTCGAGTTTGCTTCGAAATAAGCTGCTAAATGGTATGAAATTTAAAGCACAACAAAATTTTAGTGCTCTAGAAACCATACACCGAAAAATATGGATTTTCTTGTTTTTTTTTTCTCGGAATCAGCTGCTTTTCTACGATAATCTTTGTTGCATAACAGTTTGCTATGAGATGCACTGTATACATTTTGCAGACCACGCATGTGAAATGGTCATCACGTTGGGACTACATCCTGGATTCAGTTCCTCATTCCAACATTCAGTGGTTCTCGATTCTGAACTCGCTTGTTATCGTTCTCTTTCTTTCTGGAATGGTAATTTTTTATGAATTTTTTATTTTCTTTTTTCCAAATTTGAACAATTTCCTTTGTACATTCGATTTTATTTAGTTGTGTTTATATGAGTGTTGTGCATTTACAGTTCCACGGAAAAGCCAGCTGGAAAGCTAAAGCCTTGTCCTTGTAGTGGTCCGGAATACTGGCATCACCCTTCATCACGTTTTGAACGAAAATCTTAAGTAAAAAGGAGTTATATTCGGAAAGAATTGTGCAAAAATGCCTATCGCGTAGCTCGAACTCGAAATGGGAAAAGTTAGCCAGTAGGACAGAAATTAAGCTGCGAAGTGAGATTTCATTAAAAACAGGGTGTTTTTGGTTTTGGCGTACACCGGGGAGTTAAATCTGCCATCAGCTTGCTTCCAAGCAACCCTGAATGCGGGGTTTGAGCTATTGAAGACGAAAATAGGTGGGAGAACCAAAGTAGAGAATCTATTGCTTTAGCTCAAGAAAACAACTTTTTGAGGCTCTAAATTTTACTGGGGAGTTGGACGTACAACCCTATATCTGGGATGAGCTTGATGGATATTAATCAAGTGAATATTGAAGAATAATGGCACAGTTGTATTTCAGGTCGGAATGATTCTGCTTCGAACACTACATCGCGATATTGCACGTTATAATCAGCTTGATAATGAGGTTTTTTTAGAGTTTTTGATAGGATTTGCAGCTGTTTTTTTTCGTTGTTAGAAGAGTACATTAGTACTCCCG